ATTTCTACTTTGTCTTCCCTGATTTCTCTCGTCTCTAAGCGCTGGCTTATCCTCTTTTGTTCTTCCAGAACCTCTATCTCTCTGCTTTCTCCCTTGCTTCTCTCCTCTCTGTCCTTCTTTCTTCCCCCAACTTTGTCGCAACCACCACCAATTTCACAGATTATATCCCTGCCATCCTTTCCTCTCACTGCTCCTGGCTTCCTACTTTGAGATTCATGTTCGAGCTAGTTTCCCTGTCCTCTCTAGATTCTATAACATCTTAAATTTTAATCTTTGAATCACTAAGGAATTAATCAAGTTTAATTATAGTAATTGAGTGATTTGATGTAGTGTATAGCCAAAGAGATATAATAAATGTATTCAATTGTGATTAAAGTCAGGCCAACCGAGCATCGAAAGAAGGAAAAAAATATGAAGGATTGTTTCTGTGCCACATGTCGTGACGTGCATCACGTCTATTGCAACACACAGATGATAACTAAAAGAAGATGACCTCTTTGTGCCATGAGCTGCGGCGTGTGCTATGTGTGCCGTGACGCATGGCCAAAATTTTGGATAAACAACCTCATGAACAGATAGAAAATTAAAAGGAGAAAAAGGAAAAAAAATGAAGAGCAAGCCACAATTCTCTGCTAAGGTTTGCCACATTGGTGGTTTGAGAGTAGTTTAGTGCTAGAAAAAACTTAAATTAAATATCTTACACCCTAATCTTCCTTTCTCTTCCACTTTCTTGAAATTTTTAGTTAGGGTTTGATAAGGAAAGATGATTTTTAGTCCTTAGGTTATGAATCCAAACCAATTGATTCAAATAGAGTTAGTGAAAGTTATTTAGAGTATTTAAACTTAGAAATTATGGGTTTTGACATTTTTGGTTGGTGAGTTAATTAATGTTCAAAAATGGACATTTAATTTGAATTTATAAAGGTAGTTGAGACATTAATGGTAATGTGAGAACTTATTGAAGCTATATAACATTAGAGAGAGTTAATAAATTCAATGAATAAGCCCAAAATTAAGTAATAAGAGTGTTGGAAATTTTAGAAGTAAACATGTGGAAGATGAGAGTTGAAAATGTGTTCTTGATAGTGTTAATGAGCTTAAAATTTATTAATTATAGATTAAGTGTTTAGGCACCATATTTGGCTTGTGAATCAAGGTTGAAAGCTAATTATTAAAGGGTAAATTTTTGACCTCTCAAAGGTTTGAAGTAATTAGAAGGATCTTATATTGGGTAGTTATTTATTAATTGCATTCTGATGTTAAATGTATTTATTGGCATGTACAATTGTAATTTGTGAATGTGTACACATGTTATGAAACATGAGATGGTAGATTTACTTGATTTGAACTAAAGATGTGAAAATGAATTTGAAATGAATTTCAAATTACAATGTTGTGTTGGAATGCATAATTGGTGATTGGTATGATAGATTTGAATTGTGATTAAGTGTATTAGGATAAAGATAATTGTGTTGAGATTTAAAAATGGTAGAAATACACGATAAATGTAAAAATGAGATCGATGCTCACTTAGATAGCATATTATTATAAACCCAATGTGTTAATAATGAATAAATAAAATTATGAAATGAGTAAGTATGGTACATGGTATGATTAGTTGGCAGGAGTTTATTTAGGGAGAGAAGTAATTAAAATTCATATGGTATATTTGGCTACCTTTCGTATCCCATAATTTATTGAAAGATTGTCCCATAATTTATTGAGGGACTAAAATATAACTATCTCCACTAATTTATTGAAGAGGTTAACTTAGGATATATGACATCTCATAGATTAAAGAGTAGGCAAAACTGTGGTTTGAGAGTGAGTCATGTGACACCTCATAATTGGTGAGCTTGGATAGTCCAGTCACACGGACGAAGACTTATTTGATATTATAGCCCACAATTTCATTCAGAGAAAATAAAAAAGATATAATGATAGTTTGATCATGCATACGTGTTTATATGATGTGTCACATGGTTGTTTACGTTTGTGGCAAGTCGTGATAATAAATTGGGTCATTGTCATATGTCTGTATGTCTTGTGACAATGTACTGTGTGATTTGAGATGAAAATTATGAACAAGAATTAAATGAGAAATTACAAGTTTATGATGGTACTTATCTTTTGAGAAAATCAACTTCAATCATGTGAATTTATTCAATTGATATATAATTGTATAGGGTAAGTATATCTTGATTATTGAGTGGCCAGACTCACCCCTCTATTTTAATATTTTATAGGCTTTAGCTCTAGTGCAGAAAGGGAAAAGGCTTCGGAAGCTTAGGAATCTGAGCATTCTTATTATAATATCTCTCTAATTCATTTATTTTGTATACTAGTTTAAATATTGTCAATTAGGATGTATTTTTGTTTTGTACTTGCACCATATAGTTGTTTATGATATCTGAAATGTATTTTAGACCTTGAGAGATTACTTATGATAAATTGTAAATATTGATAGAGCTAAAATACTAATACAAGTATAGCAAGGTTGATTTAAATATGTTGTGGATAATTTTTGATAAAATGTAATGCTAAAACCTCCTCCTTCTGTTTTTGGTAAAAAAGAGTTGAGAGGTGAAAATGTGATATAGTAATGTATATGTGATTGTCGACGTGTGTTGTATTGTTAGTCATAGATCTAATGAGTATGGTCTGGGTGTTAAGAATGACAAATGAAACATGTATGAGGTTTTAGATACCGTTTAGTTGTAAAAGTTGTGAAAAGTTATAAAAATGTGTTTAGCTATTCAACTTTCTAGTGTGACTTGATTTGAAAGTAAAACCCATGACATTAGCTAGTTTATAAAAAGAGATTTTCGTAGGCACCTAAATTATCTCATTCAGATGTCAAACGCAAAAATAGGGCACACTCAAAGTTACCTGAGTTTGCTATCAAAATGGCAACACGGTTTACTGCCAAAACGTGCAACACGCCATAGCGCACTACTCTGTTTTCAGAACCTTAAGATTTTTCAACTCCTTTCACTCTTCTAAGGTATCTCATGCTTCCGTAACATTATTTTACTCTGATTAAAAGTCAATAAATGGTTTCCAAAGTATTTTTTTAACTATGAAAAACTTGAAATCTCATTTTCTTAAATTAAAAACTTAGTAATCTTCCTTGGGGTTGATCCTTAATTATCTTAAATTATGATTTTAATTGTGATTAGATAAGAGAGATTTTACAAATTCTCTCTCCACTACTTGTACTCATTTGACTTCTCTCTATATTAACCTCCCCAAATCCATCTCTCTTGCGTGGGTTTTGTCTTTTTCATCCTTGAGAGAACTCACGATTACCTAGTCCTCCTCTAGCAAACAAGACATTGATCCAAACAATCAATTTGAGGTTTAGAAAAGAGATGAAACTAATGCGAGATTGAGGCTGTGAAGTCTATGTTTGGCGGGCATATGAAGAGATGATTAGGGAGTGGGATGGTTATGAAGGAGCTACAAGAACCTAAAGAAATTGAGGCTTCAATATTGCTAAGCAATTGGTAGGCCCAACTCTTTTTTTGTTCAATGCTTGTAAAATCTTGAAGAAATTGAACCGAGAACTTCTAAAAGCATGGTCGATAAGGTCCTCTTGCATCTAGCTAAGAATTATCAATTTTTGAATTCCCTTCTAGTTTATGATGGTGAAACCAAGATGGTTTGCTTCATTTCTTCTCTTATTGCCAATCTAATTTGTACAAACTCGACCTTTGTCTACCTCCTTCCACATGTAGCATGCCAACTTGACAAAATTTAGTCAAATTGTCTTCTTTCTCATCACACAAAATAGTCAACGTTTTACTAATTAACATTAGAGTTTTAAGTGCTCGAAATTTAAAAGTTAATGAAAGATTTTACACGTTTTAAGAATCCAAGGATGAAGATGTTATTCGCATAATAGTTTAAGATATATGATGCCCATTAACCCTACATACTTCAATATATTTATTCTTGAATACTTCCTAAAATGCAAAAATATTGCGAGGTTGTGAGTTGATTATAATTATATATATTGTTGGCCAAAAAATATAAATTTATATACATAAACAGTTATCGTTTAATTTAATTTTTATATACTATAATCACATCATATATATTAAATAAATAACATATATATATATATATAATATGAACTTATGCAATAATCATATTAGCCCATATTAGGCACAAACCGCACAACAAGTGAAACCTCATTTATTATTTTATTAACTACTCCTTCCATTTAAAAATATAAGGTATTTTTTAAAAAGTTAGATATTAAAAAATGTAAGGCATTTTTAATCTTTCAAGATGTAATTGTCTTTTTTTTTCAAAAATGTCCCTATTAATAGTGACTTTATATTTATTATATGATATTTAATAGAAGTAAATATAGAAAGATAGAGTTAATTTAAAAGTAATTAACTATTTTATTGAGGGGTAAAATTTAATTAAAAATATCTTATATTTTTTAAGAGAAGAAATATATATTAACATGTGCGGCCGTAATTCAGAGAATCAGAGTTCAAATCAACAATTTTCATATTCTTGATCTTATCTTTATTGCAGGTATAAGTATAACAAATTTCTTTGGCAACCACATTGGAAGCTAATTTTATCACGACAAGATTGAAATTGACCAATAGTTTTTAATTAACATATTTATATTTTCACCGCGAACAAGCTTCCTAGTTTCCAATACCAAAGCTTGGATTTGACATATTTCTTTATTCAAAAAAATAAAAAAGATTTGACATGCTTCATGTGTTTTAACGCTCCGTAGCTCCAATCAATGAATGCAAGATCTCCATATCTTCCAATTTATATTTGTCCAAATAATTTTTTTTATCCAAATTGAATTTATAAATTCTCAAATTCATTTATCTTCGGAGAAAATTGTTATGCACCTGTTCAGTATAAAATCTTAAACAAATGACGCTTGTAATTCTAACAAACAGAGTACTATATTTTCTGATAAAAAAAAACAAATACTACATACTACATATTACTCATGCACATTACGAAATACAACCCAGGGCAATTAATTTCACAATATTGACTAAAAATAATCCAACATATCCATAACAAAATACGGAACAGTACAAATCAACAATTGAAATAACGTGTTCACTGTTCAAGTTGGAGATCCTTAAGAAAAGCAAAACGACTCATGATTGTAACAGAATCAAATGGCTGGCTTATGATAATGTCACATAACATAGATTAGAAAAGGTATCTCCCATCTTAACGTAAAATGAATGCCATAGGAACGCCAACTAGAAAGTAATTTCAACCTCTTGAGAAAATCCCATCAGAAAGGACGTGGGCCTCCAGGGCCTCCCGGACCTGGAGGTCCAAAAGGAGGTGGACCACCAAAGCAATCCTGGAGCAACCAGCAACAACAGAGGCAATACAAGCTGCATTTTCCCCCCAAAGAAGCAGTTATGCATTACCCAAAAAAAAAAAAAGTTATGCACTGCCTAAACATTATAAAAAATTGTACCAAAAAATAAACATTATAACAAAAATGGAGGAGATTTTCTAAAGTTTTCTTAATTTAAGAGAATTTGATTAATTGAACGTTCAGATTTTATCATGTAATAAAACTAGACCACATGCTTTGCCTAAATGGTTTCAATATTGTAATATTTGGCGTCCAGTGCTTCCAACTTTTCTTCCATTTTGCATCCAGATTATACAATTGTATTGCCCCATATTTACATTACATTGCTGTCTATAACTTAGAACAAAACGCATTTATCGTCACCTGATTTATTAGATGCTTCAAATGCTCTCAAATTCAATAAACTTTAAAGGATTTCTAAACAACAAAATAATCATAATCGATTAATTTAATTACTACCCGACTCACCAAGAGGATATCATGCTGCAGATGCCATTTGCAAATCCACCAAAGAAACCACCAGGGCCCCAAGGACCAGGGCCCCAGCCGGGACCTCCCGGTCCAGGACCCCATCCCGGACCTCCAGGTCCGGGGCCCCAACCAGGACCGCCAGGTCCGGGACCCCAACTGGGACCGAAACCGGGACCTCCAGGGCCGCCGAACCCAGGACCTCCAGGGCCGCCGGGTCCTCCGCCAGGTCCGCCAGGCCCCATGACTAGTGCCTCTCTATGCTGGAGATGAACGGAGCTGCCACCGCCTCAACTGGAACGAAGAGAACCCAAGTATGAAACAGAGCTACAGAATTATAAAAGGGTAGACAACAGCTAGCGGGGAGGCTTACTGACGTTAAATAGATAGAGGGATAGATATTTTACGTATTTCCTTCTTGTCTAAGTAACTGAGTTTAAGAAGGCTGGCCGGATATTGGACGCGGCCTCCTACGATGCAGCTACCTTTCAAAACCTACGAATCAAACACGCAGTTTAGGATAGTTGTTGGGGACGTCATCTGCAAATTTAAGTAATTGACCTTGAAATTGAAGTGTGAAGCTGTGACCAGTGAGATATCTTAACAGGGAAAGTCGCAAACTGACTTTCTACCATCACCTACCAGTCAACTCGCTGGGCACCTTTTTTTGTTTTTTGTTTTTTTGGGTAGTCATCGTTTGGGCACCTTGGTTTATAGGAGAGGGCTTGCTTTTGATCGCCCTTAGATGCGAGCAGACAAGTTGAAGTCCAAAGAAATTGGGCCCAATATTAGTTTAGTGATTTAACCTGCGCATTTGTGTATGAGCCCAATGCCATGCTGAGAAGGACTTGTTGTCGCTGCTCATGCCAGAATGGAACTGTCATCTTCAGGAGACCGGTTTCGGTGCTCATCATAGTGCTCATTATTGTGGTGAGATCTGGACCATTCAGATTTTGATCTGGATGGTCCAGATTTAAAGAATTATTATATATTTTTATTTTTATATTTATTAAAATAAAAATATATAAAATTATAAAATAATTTTAATAAATTTTTTATTTTTAATATGGCCTAAATTTAATTTAAAGGGTCCAATTTAATATTAAAATTTTTATAATTGATATATATTGACTATCTAGATATACTCTGTACAGGTCATATTACAGTTAATCTAGCATGTGCAGAGTATATCTGAATAGTCAATATATATTAATTATAAAAAATTTAATATTAAATTGAATCCTCTAAATAAATCTAGGCCATATTAAAAATAAAAAATTTATTAAAATTATTTTATAATTTTTATATATTTTTATTTTAATAAATATAATACATAATAATATTTGAAATTTGGACCATCCAGATCAAAATTTAGATGGTCCAGATCTCACCATACTGTGATGAGCACTCTCCATCTTCAGTGGTATTAACCACTGCATTTCTCTATGCTCTCCATATTTTTCCTCCTTACATCCGCAAGAACGAAATTTGAACACAGACATTCTTGCTTTTTTTTTATTTTCCTTGGCTTTAACCTACAAGTATTCTTCTATTACAGGCAATCCTTTACTTTTCATGCTCACCACCAGTCTCCACACAATACATGTATTCGGTTTGGGCCAAGAACTCTTGTTGAGTTTCATCAAATGACCGTGGCGTCTGCCTCCTGGACTGTGGACGCGCCCCTTCTTCCCCCACCCCCCCGAAAAAACAACCACAAAAATATTTTAAGAGAGGAATATTTTAATTTTAATAGTCATATTATTTTTCTGGACAACAAGAGTCATTGCTGTGATTGAAGACACGGAAGAGCAAGGCGCGGAATGATAAGTCAATTTGCATGGTGCGTGTCATGTTGTTACCCAATGGAGTGCAGATATGGCTTGTTGCAGCAGAACTCTTGCAACTAACTTGGCCGCCAGGGCAGTCATTATCAGCTCTTGATTAATTAATTGGAGAAACAAGTGAGGAGAAGGAGAAGAAAATGGAATAGAAGTTGTGGACAAAGAAAAGGATGTGTAAGGACGTGGTGAAATACCCATGCTCGTTATGAACAACACTAGAGGCAATGACCCACTCCATTAGGAAATAGAAAGCTCTTGACGTGCCTCCCCACACTCTCTATCCATCACACATTACTAAACTTCCACACACACACACACACACACGGCTATGCTCCTCGTTTCCCATTATCAAACAATTCAACAAACATGTAAACTAAATTGCAGCGACCAATGGTTCTTTCTTTCTTTGAAAGTTATGATTCAGTTTTATTTGTTGATAGACCATATAGAGTGAAAGAACTTTGAAGCATAGGAGAAATGAGTGTGGGGTTAAAGGAAAAGGGAAGTGATTGGAAGAGTTTGATGGGGTGGGGCAATGATGTCCAAAGCAGATGATTTGTGGATGAATCACAGCCATTAAGTCCACCTCAGGCTTCGACCTTACGTGGACCACACTCCCTTTAAACCCACCACATACAATAAATTGATCGCTTGAAAATTCACCATCCCTCCCTCATCCCCTTGTTCTTGTTTCTGGGTTTGTATTTTCGGAATATGACAACAGCACAATATATAAATCAAACTTAAATCATTCAGTGGTCACCATTTACTTTTTTTCAAAGGTCCTTTTTTATTACACTCTTCAATTAGTGTGTGAGGTGGGTGGTGAGGCAGCTAGGCAGAATGGGATGAGGGTTTTTCTTTTCTTTTCTTTTCTTTTTTGAGAGTCGCTTCTCGTTGTGGTCCCCTGCACTTCCAATTATAACAAATCATGTCACCCATGAAATAAATTCCATTTCATTATTGAGGAAAATCTCTCGATCAATTTGAACAGTTACGCAATCCTTGAAGAGTACGTTTCCCTCATCAGCCCTTTTCTTCATAGTAACTGAAAATGTATCAACGTAATGAATAGTAGCTTTAATAAAGGAGGGGAGCTTTGGCCCAAAAAAAGGTGGGAAGCCGAGAAGACTAATTTAACTTATCCCGTGTCTCTGGCACCTTGAATAATTGAGATGTAGGTGAAAAAAGAGTACTGGTAAAGTAATGTTTACTCTTTGATTTGAATTGGCAGAAAATTAAAAAGAAAAGGAACATTGATAATAATAATTAAATATTTTTTATTATTTTAAAAAATTTTCTTCTCTAGTATTTTTTTTTTTCTTTCGCTAGTTTTTCACTATCCAAATCAAGCATTATTGGACTTACACGGAAAAGCAACTAAGGGTCTATTTGATTACTAAAAAAGATGATCATTGAATAGATGAAAGAAATAAAGGCAAAAAAAAAAATAATCAAAACATGCATGGAAAATAAGTCAATTGTATTCACAAGGGAGAAAGAATAATTTAGTTTATAAAACTATGAGTCATGATTTACAAAATTTGTGAAGAGTGTAATCTCATAGTTGTAGTATGTGAATTAGGACTCATCATACTTATAATGAAAAGAGGATAATTTTTTTTTTTTTGAATCCATTCCATATTTATGGCTTCTCGCAAGTAAATGGGAGGGACAAGCTGAAGTAAAGATAATTGGAAAGGGGGGGAAGGAGGGAAGGAAGCATGACACACAGAGAAAGTCAAAGGGAAAGAGAAAATCTGAAAAAGGGGAAATAAAGCAAAGAGGAAGAAAAGGAGTGGGCGAGATAATTAAGGCGTGGCCATTCTGGATTTGTCATCTAGTGGACAAACTATCACCAACCTTCTTACACTGTTCTCTCACTCTGTCACATTACAAACAGGCTACTGCAAATGTAGGTGCGGCAAACATGCCTCAAGCACACACAACTACTCTCGCCTCATTCACTGTAGCTTTATTAAAATCTCAACATTTTAGGTGGTGAATAGTGATTCAATTAATGACAGGAACAGGGACGCATCAGGACAGCTAAAGAATAGCGTATTGAAATGAGAAAGGAAGCAGAATTTCAACATTAGGGAAATTATTGAGGTTGGAGTTGGTCATTATCTTACGGGGCCGCCGGGTGGAGGTTGTTCAGGTTCGGTGAATCGTATCTTTTATACTTTGACTCTCCCGTGCTTATCTTGTTAAGTCGGGTTAGTAGTAAATCATCAAGAGATAATTAAACCGACACCTTTAGAACATGTCCTTTACCAATATTCCCTGAGAAAAACATGCCCCGATTAGAGCCAACAAGTGTTCACTGTAGATACACATGCCTGAATCTGAATTGCATGCAGCCACTTCTATTTACATCACCCCTTCTATCATCCCTAGGTATGCCCACCAAATGAGATTTTAGATAATCACGCCCAATTATTCCCAAATGAAATGCGGCACGCAACGGGGAGGCTAATCCTAGCTAGGGCTTGCGTGATTTCCGTTTCATTATTTATGAGTTATTGTTAGTTTCCAATTTTTTTTTTTATGGAAGAAACACCAAAATTTAAATCTCTACTGGAATGCATACTCGTGTTTGGTACTACACGATACGTAATAAAAGAAACAAACTATTTATATCTTGGAAAGATATTAATGGTGGGCGGAAGACAGGCTGTAGAGTATAGGTATATCCTCCTCCAAGCTAAACCAAAGTAATTGTCCGTTGAAACAAAGTAATGCCTAAAAAATGGAGCCCCTTTTGGTTTCTGATTAGCTCGGCCGATGACAATCAATATCCTACCAAAGTTTTTTTTAAAAGGGACAAAAAAAAAAACAAGAGAAGAGACAAAAGAAAAGGGACAAGGGAAAAAAACGGGAGTGGATTTCTCCAATCATTCTTAAATTTGAAGACTTGTTGCATAATGTATTTTCCAAAATTCATGAATCATTACCATTTGCCAGTGAGTCAATGAAATGTAATATTTGTGAAGACTCTCTCTCTCTCTAGAGAGAGAGGGACCCATATTATACAGTAGTCAATCATTATTTTCGCTATTTTGGATCATATGTCACTCGTGGCCTAACAAGTTTTGCACTCGTATGTATTCTCTCAATGTGTGACTCATATCATAGTCAACAATGTTAGCCGCGGCCACGGATATTAAAATTTAAACTAACCTAATTAGACAAAGAACCACTCAAAATTGATATTTCGTTGACAAAATCAATTTGATTGATTTGGACAATCAATTAAAGTAAGCTAAACGATGGGATATTTTTAAGTGATGAACAAATACTATATTGATATATCCCACAAAGATCTTATATTTTTTTAAATTGTTCTCCGGATATATTTCTTTTATATGTTTACCATTATCAAGAGTACGTCTAGAACTAACAAAATAATTTGAGTTAAATCCAACAAGGTAGATCATATCAAATCAAAAAAATTTCTACCTTTTTTTTATACATAATACATATTAAATATTAATCAATCTATAGAATAAAATTTAAAATTGACTTAAAAACAGAAAAAATAAAACGTCCCTAGCAATTTGAATATTTGACTTGGATACAAAATCCCTAGTTCTCGAGTCCGGGTTGGCTTTATTAGCTTTTATATATGTCCAGGATTTTTCATATCAACCTAGATTGAACTTGGTTCGAATATGCTCAACTCACCTAAATTATCAATTC